TTCCATTCTGTTTGTTTCGTGTTGTTTCTAACTTTCAGCACATTTCAGCAGGTATTCGAGAGGGCCATCCATCAAGTTGAGGACAGCTGGAGATCATGTACAACACTAAAATTCCTTAAAATTCAATAGGACACGAGATCCACCTTCTAACCTATCCTATCCATTTTTTCCGTTGCAAGGCCTTGATCGCCACCTACAACTTGGATGCTCGTGCAGCTGGTGAGTTGAGGTGAGGTTCAGCATTCGCCCTGGGTTGGTCCTGGAGCTAAAGACCTGCAAGTTCTTTTGCATCTGAAAGACCGGGAATTTCATGGAAGGCCTGAAGTATCGAGCACTTGCACAAATTCTGAAGCCTTCACCCTTCTGAAGTCTTACCACATCTTACCACATTCATTACTCTGGTCATGCACCTACAAAAACATAGATTGTATATACACAGTCTTACCTTCTCCTTATCATCCTTATCTTTCCAGCCTCATCACCAGAACACTTTTTCTGACATGGCCTTGTCCGACACGCGCAAGCCAAGAATGACTCGACGTCTTCCATGTACGTGTTGTGTTGGTGACATGTAAACTGCAGCTGTTTATGATGAAGTTGCTTTCTTGGCCCAAGAAGGGCAGCAAGAGTCGGTCACGCTTGCTGAATGTGGTTCTTCCTGAAAGGTCTTTGCCGCGAAGCAAGCAGGCGATTCCAAGGGAAATGACAGTTAGTCCACTGCATCAAACATTGACCCCATACTCAAGCAAACATGTGAGAGAACCAATGATGTGTCTATCCCAGCCAGACCAGACCCGAAAAGACTGAGTCCAAGAACAACGGGCCAAGTGTGCTGGAAGGTACTAGTAGCTAGTAGCTTACTAGTTCCTTACTTAAGTCACCTTAGTTCCCCTAAAAATCTAGGAACCAAATCATTAGCGTGAGCTATCCTGTGTCCAGTAATTAGTTAGTAGCTTAGTTATATGTAGGTACCAGCTACCTTGCTTCTACTAGCTATTGACTCCCTAGCTACTACTAGCTACCTACCTACCACCTAGCGACCTACCCTCCCGGGCTTTAAAAAAGATCCTTTGGGTCAGGACCAGGCTGCGCTGATCGACCTCTCAAAGGCGAACAAGCCCTCAGCCTACATCATGGCACAGCTGCAACAACTGGCAGGGAGACCCGACTGGGCCGGACTGGGCAGGGAGACTGGGGCAAACGGAACGCCCGGTCAAGGTAGGCGCCGGGCAAACGGTACGCTTCGTTGCTTAGTAGCCAACTTAGATGTTTCCCAATCAAGAGCCTTGAGGGTCTTACTTTCAAACCGTCGAGGTATGCGTGACCCTGTCGGGGTGAGCCACGTTGGTCGCCGCATGAGCAGGTCATCAAAGTGCATTGTTCTTGTTTGACAAATGACCAATCCCATTTTTTGGGTGATTCGTTGATGAAAGATCCTTAAAGCCCCAAAGGAATTGCCTGGCAAGGCCCAAAGCGATGACAAGCTGGTGGCCTTCCCTGGATCCTTGCCCTCGGCATTGGATTCGATGCTATGAGGGCGAAAAAAAGGACATCGATCGCTGTTGGTTGGGAATGGACATGGACCTCAATAGGGGGAACTCTTTGGTGAATATGTGCCTCGGATTGATGTCCACCTGATTTGTTTCCTGGGGTTCGATATTGCTTGCCATTTGTTGATTGAAAGAACTGCCATGCATTGAATTGGATGTGGGTCAAAGCTGATGACACTGGAAGCCATCGAACATGAACAACCTCCACTCAACTGTTACTGTCTCCTACTGTATATACCCCAGCGCACCAGACTCCACGAGTGAAACGTGACTGGTGTTGTGCACATAGGCCTAAGTACAGAACGATTGGTTCCCCAATGCAAAGGTGAGAGCGAGACACGAAAAAGCCTACAAAAGTGCATAAAAGTGCAACCTTCGATTCAAAGAACAAAGTTTGCAACCAGCACCGCAGGCAAACAAGTTTGCCAGTAGACAGTCATTGCCAATTCTCAGAACCATCCAAAATTTTTGGAACTGCAAGGTTGCTTGGTATTTTCGGTCTCCACTTAAATTGACCAAGGTTCCAATTACAATGCCAATTCGGAAATTTCTTGCGACATTGATCAAGACCAAGGGCTGCCTCACTTTACAAAAAGCATCATCCGTACCATTGGGATCAGTAACAGGAAGCAACTCATGCACCAATGCCAGCCACTTCTGATGCTGCAAGATAGCATCTTCGAATATCTTCTACCTTCCTCTGCATCATGGGATACACTGGTGAAAGAGGTTTAGCGAAGCAGTCAGGTTTGCTTTACGGTTGCGCTCAATGCGTTGGACAGTTGTGCCGTGAGCCGCCGCCAAATCTTCCATCATGGGAACACGTAGATGCCCGAAACAGTGAGCAAGGATCCATTGAATTGTAAAAGGAACAGGATGTACAGCTCTTCACCACCTGACAAGCTCAGCAAAATTTTTTGCCATCCTGGGAAAGCCAATCAGCAACAATTTCACCTGTACTGAAACGATGCCGTGCCTGGTCAACAAGCGCCTCGCAATGACTGCAGACATGCTCACGAAAGGGTGTTAGGTGCATGCCACATGGCTGACTGGCCAAAGCTCAGCAACATATGCACTCAAAGAGATATGCTTGAGAACTTGTGCAGTAACAATAATTGCATATGTAGCAGTAGTGATCCCGAAGCGGTCGCCCCACAGAACCGATCCATCTGTCCATTCAACACATCGCTCAAGGCAAAACTCAGGTGGTCGCATCAGCAATCAGCGTTTGGCCAAGAAAAAAGGCTGTTCCGCAATGCCCGCCAGTGCAAAGTTGTTATACACCCAGTTCATGGAGGATTGCATTGATTTGCTGCAAGCCTTGACAATCTCGAACCCAGTGATTCATGGATTCCTTGACTTGTCCACAAAACGACACAGGGATGCTTTTGACGATCCTGAGGCAACCATTCGATCATTAGTAAGGACACAGCCAACAACGACAGAGTGGAACTGAGTGGACAATGAGACAGTCAGTCTGCATTTGTGGTCTTCATGCTTTCAAAGAAGGTCTGTGGTGGAAGAGTGGGAGAGATGTCAAGCAATCCGAGTCTTGGGATTAACCCACAGTGTATGTTATGTATGTGGAGAGATAGCCAGTCCTCTTGCACAGGTACCATTGAGAGTGAACAACAACCAGCATTGAGTTTCAGATTGGCAAGCTTGCAAAGACTTCGCTGGATGGCGGTACAGAAGCAGCATGGAACCTTTGTCTTTGTCAGACGGCTGGGGCATTGTTTACTATTTGCACCTTAGAGTAACCCTTGTCGCCCATCAAGGAAAGTCAGCAAATCAAGCCCCTGGATTGGTAGGTAGCCACGTGGACTGCGCATCGCACAAGAAGGACAAGACACTACTTGGTAAACGCAGAATGTTGCTGAATTTTGGCTCAATGCAGTTCCTTGTCACTTGTTCCATTGAATCCAACTCGGCACGATATTGGTAAACTTGCGGCGTTCACAAGAAACCACACTGGTGAAAGAGTGGAAGAGCATGACTGGTAGAACCCCTGCAGATAGATAGCTTGTTGGCGGCTGACATGGATCCCTAGCAATGCCACATCCTTAGACACTGCAGCAGATGTCTTGTCTACTCCGCAGAAGTAAGGCCAATTGATCAACACCGACTGCGCACGGTGTCCGAGCGAAATGACAAGGCCATGGACCGATGGGCTAAACCGACCGGTGTGATGCATCGCTTGTGATGGCAGGTGACGGAAGACATCCGATTCAAAAGCCAAGAGTTGGAGAAGCTGGATAACAGGCTGGAGTTCAGGGGTCCATCTGTATAAATGCATTCGTTCTCGTTGTTTCCAGTTGACCTTTTACATAAGGGGTACCACCCTTGTGGGCTCAGCCCGCAGATGTTTCATGGTTCTTGGATTCCGCATGCGGGCATTGGATCCGCCGATTTGCTAATTGGCGTCCTCTCCACACTTGCATTTCTCCTCCATTGATATCGTTTCAGGAGTGTGGCTAAGACAGTAAAGGAGGCTGACCAAAGAGCGAAAGATGCCAAGGCCGGAGGAGCATGTGACATCGCTCTTGGCGTGTGCGACTCGCCTTTGTTTGAGCGTGTGGACCTGTGTGACTATTGTACTGCTTTTCTTGATTAGGCATTTCCATGAGACCTGGAAGTTGGTTGCTTTTGGCAAACCATTTAGAAACTGCCTTCATGGGGGTGCATGGCTGAACCAAGGATGCATTGTGTTTTCCAGCAATGGCGGGAGATGTGGACCTGGCTCAATCCTAAATCAGTGTAGGAGGGAACCTGTACTTGCAAATCCAGGCTAAGAAAGCTTGCAATATCTTGCAATAGAGAGTAGCTTCAATACTCTCGCAGTAGCTTTCAGCTCCTTCATCCCACAACAAACATCCTTCATTTTTTTCTTTGACCATCTATGATGGTCATGGATTCACAATCTTGGACAGGCTTGGGCTGAGAAGGTCATGGAGCTGAAAGCCAGCCTTGATGAGCAAAGGCAGTTGGCCTCGGAGATGAGTGAAAGCGCAGGGCTCCAAGTTGGCGGATCAGATACGGTCTCGGATCGTCGGACCTGTTAAATATGTGTTTGATATTGCTGTTTGACACACATGTTTTTGATATGCTGTGCAACGTATGTTATGGAGACAGATGAAGTGGTCATTCAATGAGATTCAGAGTCTTTGTTTGATCCTGTGCCCACATCCGCTGCTTGGCATTTGGATGGCTGCTCTCAACTAGCAGCTGCTGGCTCGAGATAGTGAAGGCTTGAAAGAACATGAGAACTTGTGAATTTGTTTGAACTGGTCCAACTTCCAAGAGACAGTTGAGATTAATGTTTGGGCAAGTACATGAAGTACACATTGTAGGTCATTTTTCTGGAGACCCTCTCCTTCCACTCATCCACTCTTTCATCATGCATCGAAAAGAAGAGATGGCCTGCTGTCGTTGATGTCATGAGAAGAAGTGATGGCAATGTCTGGACTCAATGGAGCCCGCAAGGACGGGATGTGTGTGCCGTGGTTGTGGTTGTGGAGCGATGGCCTCCACCCTAAGAGCGATGGCCTCCAACCTGAGTTGTGGTTGTGGACACAATGAAAACAAGAACAGAACCTTTCATTCCTTGCTCCCAAAAAACTGTAGATGCACCCCTGTCAGACATGCAGCTACACCAGGGCTGGAACACTGTGCTAAACGACGGCTCATCCATTTGGAAGGGAGAACAGTTTGTAAAGGCATTGATGCATGTGATAGCTTGAAGGTTAAACCAGAGAGTAGCTGGAGCAGCTGGAGCTTGTGTGGTCAACTGGAATTGAACCATTTGCGTTGCTTGATCTCTATAATCACAAGGCTTCTGGTTTCGACGTGCGAGGTGATGATGTGGGTGCGTCACGGGCACTCTGAGGCGAGATCATTCATGTATATTGTTTCTAATAGCTTCTTGTTACTACTAGTAACAAGTGCCACGCTAGTAGTAACAGGTGCCTTACTAGTAGTAACAAGAAGCTATTAGAAACAATAAGCTAATAGCTTCTTGTTACTACTAGTAAGGCACTTGTTACTAGTAGCGATGCACTTGTTCCTA